CTTTCCATACTTCCGCGGCCCAACCAAACGTCCCGCAACCTGCGACACCTCCAAATTGGACTCTAGTATCTAAAAGTACGTGTTCGTTAAAATCTAGCACCATCAAAAACCGCCATTGACTTTCTGCCACTGGGATTTGTCTGTAGGCCTTAGCCCAGTCAAAAATGCCGAGTAGGAGTTTTCCTTTGTGATGAATGAAGAAGTAAGCCACCTTTTTGAAATCATCCCAAGATGTCTCGAACTCCTTCTTATCTACGTTTTGATTCACTGATGGTATGCTTCGTATGTGTCTTGGGTAGGATAAATCGCTAATCGGCCGAAATGACCCGTCCCCATTAATCACTGCACCTAGTGGGTTAGTCCTAAAGAAACCTATCTTCCGATATACTTCTTCTTTTGTCCAAGGTCCGAACATTCTACCGGCTTTCAGTTCGGTTTCGAAACTTTCTTCGATCTTCTTCTGTGCGTTTCTGGCTGATGCATGGTTCGGTGGACAGTAAAAAGGTCTTGATGTTAACTCCGCGTCTTGGTCTCTTATTCCTTGGGAGAATCCTGTTCTGAACATGTTTAGTATGTGTTTGTTCTTCTCTAGCAAATCTACTCCTGCTAATTCTCGTTTCCAAACATCTAGGTTCATTTCGTAAGATGGACCTTTTGGCCATTGTTTCATGTCTTGACCTTTGTCGTTAAGTCTTATCGTGTCACTTGATGTTGTACATCGGTTTTGCGATGTGTACGTGTTTAACGGACTTGTTCGTGAGGAACTACTCTCAGGCTGGTCAGGATTTGGCTCATTCTTTTTCCTGTGTGGGGAGGAGGGATGGGCACAGAGTTTGTGTACGAAGTCAAGGAAAAAAGGGTTGAATTACCCAATTACCCATGTTTAATCAGATTCAGGTGGAATTTCGGTTGGCACCAAGATCTCTATCAGTTACCAATTGGTATGATCATTTCATTGCATTACATGTGATTTGAGTTATCGCTTACGCTCTCTTCCATTTTTCGTTATACTTCTTCTCATATCTTTTTTCCGGGCTCTTACTCCTCTCTCGACGTCTCTCCTCTCCCCACTTCGGACCTCTGCCTTCAAAACCTCTCCCGTCTCTGAATTCGCGCGACTCTCTGTCTCTATACCCCGTTTGGCCGCTTCCTCCTCGGCCTCGTCTACCTCCACCGTTACCTCTATACGTACTTCCTCCTGCGTGTTGGTTGAAAGGTATCGCATTGCTAGTGCTTTGGTACGTATTTTGGTACTGGTGAAGTGACGTCGACGGTGTTGCGCGTGACGAATGCTGTTTCAGCTGATTTGTATCGGGGCATATGTTCGACTTCGGGTCGTTTGGTGCGTATGGGTTTGTACGATAAGACCTCTCATTGAAACTTTCCGCCTTCGTCTTCGCTTGCGTTAACAAATGTTCTTGCAGTTCTGACCAGTTGCCTAAGGAACTATCGATCGTCTCGCGCATTACACCCTGACGAACTAGCCTACAATACCGCAATGCCACCATCCAGCCGAAATCTTTATGTATCTGTTTTACAATTCCCATATGACTTTCGAACCGTTCTGCCACCGGACCCCAGTCTTGGTCTCGTAGATGTACACACATGAGCTCCATACAGTCCGACCAAGCTTCGAAGTCCATGGTGAGTTCTTCTTTTGGGCCTTCTCCTCCATATAATCTCTTTTCTTTCTCAGCTTTGTCTTCGTTTTTCGGCGGTAGTAAAGACCAGGCCATTTGGTCTTTAATAAGAAATTCTTCATCAAAGACGGGAAGAGGGATGAACGACTTTAATGCTTTAAGTTTTAGAGTTAGATGAGGAGATAGTGGGGTTATAGCGTCGCCCATCTTTGCTGGCCCGTTCCGAAACAACCGACCGTTATGGATCATGTCTCCGTTTGACAACGTAAGTGAACCTTTCTTGGAGCTCATCAAAGCCTTTGCTTTTTCTGATTCTTCTTCTGTTAAGCAACCGTTGAACAAGGTAGACGACTGCTTTCCTTTCCCCTCATTTGTCGGGAGTTGTCCTTGGATTGTCTCTTTCACGAAGGTTACACTGGGAGCTGGAGGATTCTTATTTCCGATTAGGAAAGATTGGATGTTGTCATCATCGTCTGAGGATTTCGATGACTCGTCTTCAATCACGTAAGTATGATCTTTCTCTCGACCTTCCTGCTCCTCTCGGTTTAAACGTTTTGTTAACCGTCGTGCTCCTTCCTCGTCGTCTCGATCGTAAGCTTCTTGGATCAATTCCACCAGTGCTTCACGTCGAGCTTCTACGAAAACGAACCGACCAACCATGTTGCATTGTCAGTGTCTTGCTCTACGGTTCCACTGTGTATTTCATTTGACTTGGTATGTCTGGACGTGGTACGTATTGTGAGCCCGAGCCGGCTGGGTTTTATTCTAAGCCAAACCAGGCAATATTCAAGAATCTACTGTAAGCCGATCTAGGCTGGGACGTATTATTAGCCCGTCCAGGCTGTCTTCCATTCCGTGTTTCCTCGTTCTTGGTCTTCCCATCGATGTTGGGACACGCGTCGTTTGAAAAGGAGTATGGAATAAAGGGAAATGGTGGCAGAAGGGGAAAAGGAAAAAGAATGGAAGAAGGAATCGAGTAAGAAAGAATAATGAGTGCGTTTCCTACCTTTCCTCACTCTGTCATTTATTCTACTCGTGTGTTCTTCATCATTGACACGATCCTCTTCCATCTCATTTTCACCTTCTAATTCACCAATACCTCCCCATTCTTCCATCTCCTCTTCGTCTTCTATTCTTTGATCTTCTCTTCGTTGATTCCTTGGAACGTGCGAATCTTCTTCCTCTCTGTTTTCTTGTCGTTGTTGTTGTCTTCCTCCACCTCCACCTCTTCTAGGAGTTTCTAGTCTTTCTTCTAATTGAGCTCCTGTCGCCGCAGCTTCTGCTCGTGTTAATCTTCTTTGAACGTTGTTTGCTGCTCTGTTAATCTGGTTTCTGAAATCCATTTCGTTTAATTCTACTGTTATAAGACTTCTTTGAATGTGAATGTAAAGACTTTGATAATTTGAATGTAAAAAACTTTGGTAATTCAAAACTTTGATATGATTCTAGCAAACGAAGATGAGTTCAACTGGCTGCGGTGAAGAGGTTCTAGATGAGTGTGAAGGAATTTCTCTAAGTTCTCCTTCGAGATTTGAAATTCCAACTCTCTTTGAGAGATCTAGGTTTCACACGTCTTCTGGTACCTTTCACCGAAATGGACCGTGTCACCAATTCATCCTTCTAGGTGACTATAAGGAAGAAGTTGGAATTGTGAACGGGGATTTGGACATTGGAAATTTTTGGGATTCTTTTGAGGTTGTATTAGGAAGATTGAAAGAGATGTCTTGGAGTAACACTCCCTCTGCCCGTGTTGAAGGTGATGATTCTATGGTTTTGGAAAACTGAGTATTTTATCTCACTATTACCTGCATCTCTGTGTTTTGTAACCTTTGTAATGGTCAATAGTACGGATTGTTGTGAGGAAAGTAAAAACACTAAGCTCAAGATGTGAATTTCTTGTTTTCCCAAAAAGAACACCATACAAGACAGAAAAGACATTTTCTAAGATAAAAGGGACTTGTGGTTGGTTTGAACTACAAATTCTACATATATTTTTTGCTGGAACCCTTGAGCATCTAGACATATTCTGCATAGCATGCATTCACTTTGCCTATATCATGCAAGACATCCATCGTGTCCCCAGGCTTGAGGTAATCTTTAAGTTGATCCTTTGGAACTGACAATGTTATTACTTTTCTAGCCAGAGATGCTTTTTTCTTCTGTACCTGAGGGGTAAGAAAGGGTTTGCAGATGATGGTGAGTGCAACCCTTTCTGGGAGCTGGTTACTTGACTCACATTGAATAGGTGCTGTTCAACAGATTCCCCTGCAACCACATGATACACATTCACAGGGTGGGTCTGACCTATTTGATGTAGACGGTCAATTGCCTGTTGCACAATCTGTGGATTCCAATGGGCATCCTCAAGATCTTCTGTTTAGGTAATATTTATGACAGTATATGAATAAATGATAACAAACACACCATCAGGTACACCTCGTCAGTGCATGTCATATTAAAGCCCACACCTCCAGCTTCAATAGATACTATGAAGGCCTCAATGTTGTTATTGTTCTTGAATCTGTTGAGTTGCAATGTCCTCTCCTGAGGATTCAGCTCACCGTGCAAGGAGCCGCTTTCAATCCCGTGACAATCCAAATGAATCTTGATCCTGTGGGGTGTGCAGGTTAGCATACAGGACAAATGATATAAAAGAGACAGAAAATATATTTACCACTCCATGAAACACCTCCATTGGGTATAGATGACAGTCTTCTTGCCTAGACCTTTATGCAAAGGAACCTGCTTCTTTTTGAGCTGGGAAACCAAGTATGCAGGCTTGCTACTCAGTGACCAGTCCTCCCGGTAGGCTGGCCTGGCATCAGCAGTCAGTTCCCTCCCATCCGGCACCACAATTCCAAGCTCCTCCTCCATCTCTGTAATCTTGATTGGATTGAGCTCTTGTTCTTGTTCAAGTCAAAGAGGGTGATTGCATGTCATCCTGAGATTGCTCAATTGTCTAAAATATTCACCCCGTTTATGTTTGATTTGAGATTCCACATCAAAGTCCTGAATAAATCTTTTGTAATGTTACTGATATACTGCTTTCACTTTTTGATGCATTTCCAATAAAATGGTCACATGGTAAATCGGGGGTAAATCACGTAGGTGGCTAGCTTTGGTCCGCCTCAGCATAAAGTATCTTAGTAGGTGTCCAAGTGATTCCAGCTTTCCTTGATGAACAGGCAGAGTGATTTGACGGTACCATTCAGAGTCTTGGTGAAAAGGCTTGATGTGCAAGCCTCCAATTCTGTTATGGAGTGGTGTACCAGTGAGACAGAGCCGGTTGACTGATTCCAAAGAGGTGAGTACCGCATGGGAGCTGGTCTCATTACAAATGACGCTGGTACCAGTAGAGGGTCAGCTTGATAAATATTAAACTTGGCACAAAGAGAGAACACTCACTGAGCTTCATCAATGACCACTCTGTACCACCTGGTTGTAAAAGGGAGCCGTGTTGTACCAGCATGCCGCTGGTCCCATATGAGGGTTTTGGGAGTTGTAATGATGATGTTGGCTGAGTGCATATCACGTAGAGGAAATTTGACTCTGTCTGTGCCATGCCAGCGCAAGACTTTCAAGCTGTGTTTTCTTGTGTGTTTTCGAACCTTGTCTTCCCAGTTGTCCATGAGGCTGGTGGGACATATCAAAAGTCTCATGTGAGATGCACGGAGGTGACTGTTTGGATGGTTGATAGCTGATGCAGATTCCTGATGTTCGTATTGTCTTGATGCTTCCAGTGTTGTAGCAATTAAAGCAATAGTTTGGATTGTTTTTCCAAGGCTCATGTCATCTGCTAGAATTGATGCCCTAGGGCTGACAGGTCCGGGTTGTCCCTCAGTGACAATAAATTTTTCCCCACAGAGACGGTGACTCCACCGGTTGAAGGGTGGCATTGATTTATTAAACCAAAGGGAGTGATAAGTTTTTGAATCCGGATTTTCTCTGTCCAACAAAAAGGCCAGGACCTGCTGCTGATGGGGGTGGAGCTGAGAAGTAACTATAACTGATGGATTGACAGGCTGAAGATCTGAGCCGCATGAAATGGACGCAAGTCTGGAGACCTCGTCACTGGTCAACATGTGATCAGGAAATGCTGAGCTCCAGTTGGGAGTTGTCTGTGCTTCTAGATCCACCAGAGGAATAAGTTGATGTTGTTGAGGTTTGTAATGACTAGGACACTGCAGTTTGATCTTGAAGTTCCTGACCGTCTTGACAAGGCTTCCTTGGTACCAACTTGGGATAAATATAAGTGCATGCACTTGCAATTGTGACGCATCATGCCCATTGAATTCTACAATAGTGGTGTTGAAAGTAGAGCTTATGAGAACTGGGTGACTGGGGTCAAAAGTTGTACTAGGTTTCCATCCGCCAGCAGGTAGAGCTTTATATATACAAGGTGTGCTTCCAAGAAGCTTCAAGAAACAACTATCAACACCTGGAGGGCCATACCCCAAAGAAAGACCAGTTGCAAGATATAAACTGATCTCTGGTGTGCTGTGGGTATCCGCAGAGACTTTCAAGAACACAGGTGACTGATGGGGATGTTCCAGTTTTGCCGCAGTGGAAGTGGGTGGTGCCACCTTGGAAGATATCATCCCAGCACATACTGGTTGGCTTCAATTTTGTTGAGGTGTGACAAACATGATTAGAAAAATAAGATGAAATGGATGAAAAATGGATGATTGGAATGAGGGACAATATACTTTGGGTGCATGAGGCACGCTTTATATGAGCTCAAATTTGCTGTGCGGACTTACACAATTTATTACCCATCCATGGATCTCACAGATCCACGCCCAAGCTTTTCACAATTTACAAAACATTCTTGGATCTTGCAGATTCACGCACAAGCTCCTGAAATTGATGCAAATCCCTTCTAACATGTTCCATCACGGGTTAGGGGGCATATGGCCACTGATTCTGCTCCCCCTATCCTGCTTCAGCATAATTTATTGATATCCTGAACACAACATGTATTTTCATGAACCTCATGAGGATATTGATATTATAGATATCTAAACAATCAAATCTTTTTTTTTTCATTAACAAAAGAATAAAAAAGTCACCAAACAAAACTTTCAAACACCTCGTACTCCATCTGTTTCAAGATTTATTTATATATTTTTTTCATTAACAAAATGATACAAAAATTGAGGACATTGCCAAAATATCTTACCAAACATTGCTCTCAAACATATTTTGAGCAATTGTTTCAGTATATATATATTTCTTTAACAATGGACAAAAAATTGTTTCAATATGTATTTTTATTTTTATTTTCATTTTCATTAACAAAAGCCGGATATTTTGAACAAACATTTCAAACACGTGGTAAAAGAATGAAAAAAAACAGATGAGTAATCAAACCAAAGTACCAATACTGTTTCAATGTACATATGTATAATTTTTTGATTTTGAAAGAGATTAAACAAATTATGTTCCCTACAAAACTATAAGGTTCATTTTTTTGATTTACAAAAAAAAACCCGGACATATATATTGTATTTTTTTTTTCAAAATATAATTTGAAGTCTTTTAACCAAAAAAAGAAACCAGCCAGGCCACTTAAGCGCTAGGTGGCCTCACCTTGAAAGTAAGGCCACCTAACTGCTAAGTGGCCTTACTTTTATGGTGAGGCCACCTAGCAGTTAGGTGGCCAAGCCCCCAGTGATCGGATGGCACTGCATATTGGTCCGGGGCCGAGGGGCGGTCTTGGCCCTGGACTGCTCCATTGCACAATCACTGAGTGATCATGCGATGGCGGTTAGGTGGCCAAGCCATCGCACGATCACTCAGTGATTGTGTGATGGAGCAGTCCAGGGCCGAGACCGCTTCTCCGCCCCGGACCGATATCCTGTGCCATCGCACAATCAAGGGGTGATTGTGCGATGGCACAGCCACCTAACCGCTAGGTGGGGGTATTTTAATTAACCACCTAGCAATTAGGAGGTTAAACCAATATTAAAGGGACTTAAGGCACCAGGAGTCAAAATTGATTTCAGTTTTCATGAACTCTCATCTGCCATTACCTAACCAATCACTTTTCAAACAAACATTCCAACCCCAAGATGGATCATCAATCAAGTTATCGAACAAATCAACGCCCAATCGATTGATTCGCTTGTCACTTGAGTAAGTGTTTTCAAGTAACAATCATGGAATAAATCGTTACATCCATGACTAACTCATATCTCTTTTTGCTTTTTAGTAAGACATGTCTTACAAAACTCGTGCTTCTCCACCTCAACTCAACTTTGAAGAGGTGAGATCCCAGGATTCCTGCTCTGAAGACTTGGATCCCGACCAATTGAACCTCAAAACAAACAATTCCCTTGGGCCTCAGCCAAAATTCACCGCACCTTTGTTCCAAACGTTTTCGCAAGCTCCTTCCGCCCCAGGACCTTTTGATGCAGTTCGAAAAGTTGGGTTATCTGATAATGAGGTCCAAGAAATAACCAAGGAGGAATATTACCGCAATGTCCATTTGACTTCCCGGATTCTCAAAGAACAGCTCACTGTGGCTGGTCTTCCACCACAAGTATACGACCTAATTGAGCAGGCAGGACAGGCATGTGATGATGCTTTCCAAGGTGAAACATAGTCCATTTGGTAATGGGAAAGGTGGAGAACTGATCTTTTCTGTCTCTTTCCAGATCTCGAGCAAGGAAAACAACCTCCTACTCGCCCAAATGTGAAAGTAATATGGATCACAGACGATTCTCCGCCTCCGCCAAACCAAAGACGGTCTGAACGGACTCATGATGAAGCTCCAAGCTACTCCGGAACCCAGTTACAATCGAAGCGAAACCAATTGAACCTCACTTCAAAACCCAAAGCACCTGGTACAAACGAAGATCACGATTCAAACGATGATGCCAAAGGTGAAGATGAAGAAAACGAGGAAGACGAGCAGGACCAAGAAGAAGAGGATGAACAGGTTGACGGTTTATGACCTATTGAAGGAAAACTTCAAATTCCAGAAGTTGAACAAAACAATTTAAATCATGATGATGGCACTGAAGATGAACACAAAAACAACCCACCTCACTCGAGTCTTTGTAAGGCAAACAAACTGGTCATTCAAACCTCCTCAGATTTAGATGGTGAACCACTTTCTTCACCGCTCTCTTCTCCTCCTCCCAAATCCATGAGGGCGCCTTCTCCATCTCCTCAAACCGAACCTCCAACTGAGGAAAACACTTCAGATTCTCGTCTCACTCTTGCGCAATTGAGAGAACCGCGATCTTCACCGGTTTCGGAAGTCTCACCCAAAAAAAATACTCATCCCAACAATAGCCAAACGGCTGACAAAACAGGGCTCAATCATTCAGCCCAACATGTTCCTGAAACATTACCTGCAGAAGTTGAAACATTACCTGCAGACGTTGATTCAATACTTGCGGAAGCTTGACTTAACGCGGTGAATTTGGATTCACAACATTCCACTATGGTTCTCCCATCCAAAACCATTCCATCTGATGTGAATTTGACTCAAAATGTTCATGAAAGCAGGGTTCAACCTCTTACTGAACTCATCAAGAATCAAATTGGTGAGTTTGTATTTTACACTCAGCCGGGAACTTCCCAGAGTAAGACCTCCATAGCCAAACCCTTTATCCGTTCAATTATCCTCACTGTGACCTTTTGCTTTCTGACATAGATTTGGAAGTCAAAATCACACCTTGTGATGATCCCATGGATTTAGATATCCCTGTCTTCAACTTGAATGACCTTGGTACCATTCCAACCACCACTGATTCTGCTACTCTGGAGATTGGATTTATACTCAAACACCACGAAATCTTCAGCGCAAGCTTTACAGAATTTCCAGCCAAAAAATTTCTTCAGCCGCCTTTGCAAAAGGAAGAGATAGTGCTTTCAATCTGATTGCCATGAGGCTTGATCACCTCCCACTCCTCAAGAAGCCATCCTTTCAATTGCCTCCGGGGACTCATTTTTCAGGCAGCAAGATGACTAATTCTGCTTGGCTCCAATTTGTGAATGAGCAAGGTGAGTACTGATGATTAAATAATGAGTCCAGCAAAATCTTATGCACTATTTTGTCACAGGGCTACAATTCTTCTCACCGTCTGAGGGTGAACTGCTTTTTAGCTCGAACATATGGAGCCCAACCTTTTTTCAAGACTCTTATCAACCGGACCCAGATAAGAAGTCTCGGCTTTTTCACTTATGGCGGACAGTGCGGCCTATTGGATGTCCTTCAAAAAAAACATCAAGAGGTTTCCAATTTTTTAGAAGATGCTATTGCAGTTGCTGGGCAACAAGTCATTCACAAGAATACCTTTGAAGAAAACCTGGATGCAACCCCGTATGAAAATAGTTATAGATTTGTTTCTCACTTATTATTAACTCGTCCAAACTTGGGGTCCTGTGGGGGCGGAGAAAATCTACTCACTTCAGGCTCATCAGGATCTCAAATCATTGCACATGAATCAGCTGTGGTCAAAGCCGGTACATTAAACAATCTTCAAAACTTTTCAGTCAGTGTTCACAATGTATTAATGGGGCTAGCAGTACTTGATTTACATTCAAAGATTCCTGAGAAAGCAACTGATACTGAGCAACAACAAATCAAAAAAGATATCAACAAGAAGATTGAAGAATTGAAGGAGGTTGGGTTTGCATGGGGATCTTTGTGTTGCTCAAATATGATCTAAATCAAATTAGTGTTATTTCATCTCTTGTCTGTTCTCTGTTTCATTTGATTTCTATGTGATCATCCTGCGAGATGTCTTGTTTGTTTCTTATTTGATTTCTTTGTCTTTGTGCGTTTGTTAACTCTCACGGTTATGTTTCTCTAGACTATATAAACCTCCCTGAGTCACCAGATGCTTCGTACATTATCTGTTCGAAGCTTCATCATCTGATACACAAGCTAACTTAGACGTGCTTGTGCATCCTGGTTGACTCATAGGTTAGTTTCTATTTTTGTGTTCTTCTCTAGTCATGATTTCTTTTCTGTTTGTTGTCTTTTGTGTGTTAAAGAAATACATTATCTGTTCAAAGCTTCATCATCTGATACACAAGCTAACTTAGACGTGCTTGTGCATCCTGGTTGACTCATACTTTGGCCGGTTTCATCACTAGTGGTGTTAGAGGATTAATGTTGGCTTCAAGAGATATGCATGTGCCAGTGGGCAATGCTATGGCAATCATCAAGGCAGCAGAGGAAATTCAAAAGTTGGAGAAGATTCAGATGAAGGAGAAGATTTGGTGCCAGACTCATGATTACATTATGGGACTTTTGGTCAGAGGCTATTTCCCTCACAAGCGGTCAGTTCATCCTGGGAAATCAGTGTTTGGTGAAGTCAAGGTTCAAAAGATTCAGCTGGCCATATGCCTGGCCTACGACATTGGATACTATTGGTCTGTGCAGGTCCAGGTATGACTTGTGCTATTCTTCCTAAAGCTTATATCCCAATGGTGAAGATCAACAACACCAAGCTGACAGTTGTAGGGGAAGAGGCACCGCCGACATATTTACCTTGGATTACAAAATCCGAGGTATCCTCGGATGCAAAAACTCGGACAGAAGCTTCCCAAGGTTTTGATCCGAGGTAATTCTCAGGGCAAAAACCTTGGACAAGGTCTGTCCGAGGATTCGCCTCCGATGACGCCTCGGATTTCTCAACCCAAGGCATCTATGCTGGCAGTGAGGAAGATGGAATGGAACTTGAGTGAATGTCTTGTATT